AGCAGTTTACATATGTTATTTGCACGTTATTTTGAACTTTTTTTTTATAAAATAAATAAGTATTAAAAACGTATCAGATATGAAACAAGCTATGGAATTTTACCACGAATTACTACATAGCAATTTAAACTATTTTGCAGTCTAACCTGGGTAAGCGAGAAATCTCTATAAACGAGACGAATGTCCGATCCCGACGGGTTCCATAAGTGAGAAACTATTGTAAGAGAGAAACCTTCATAAGCGAGAAACATCGCGGTCCTTTGGACTTTTGTTTACCCAGATAAGACAGTATTTTCAAAGAGAAAAGTGGATAACAATATTAACAGGTGTTTCCTTCAATTTCTTCATCGTTACAGTCTTTTCAGACTGGTCGTGGTCAAGTATCAGTGACCCGCTTTACGAGGTGCCGCCACTCCTCCCTAGTCGCTGCTTTTTTAGTACATTGGAGTAGGGGACATCTACATCCGCTCTGATTTGACCGATTCACCTCATGGGCGATCTTCCTCGTGGTCTGTTGCCCTCAACTTTCCCCTGCACTACCAAGCGCTCTACGCTCTATTAACAGTGGTAGAACCCGCTTTAACATCTTCGCACGAATTGGCACGGCTCGCCCGGTGAAATACCACGACCACACAGAAGACAGGCGAGAAGTGGAAGCAATTCCGCGTTTCGTCTGATAAGTGTGCGTCCCGGAGGCCTAATTTACTCCTCTTTCTCTTCCCACCCTTTTTCTTCTTAGGAAAGGATGGGAAGTGGAAGTGGGCTTTCCGGATGAAGCATGCATGGAAAGGAAAAATGTTTTCTTTCTGTGCATCTCTCCTCCGTCGATTAAAGGTAGGCAACGCATATGCAATTGTATATGTCTATGGGCAACGGTCGCTTCGCTATTTCAGCGATTTCAGGTGGCCGCTCGCTCGTTTGCCACATTATGATATAAAAAAGAAAATATGGACTCGTCATCACGTCTTGAATAGTCACGTTAAAACTCACAGACACAAACACGCTCAAAAACGTGTATATCTTTTCAATGTTGGTGTTAAAACATAAATCGCTACGTTGTGAACGAATAAAAAAAATGCAAACCACCTCAGGAACAATTTCACTACAACTTTAGTAATTTACAAGCCAATTAAAATAAAAAATGGGAAGCATCCAACGCCACCACCCCTTTAATTATTATTTTTTGCATTTTTTAATGATGTTAAACAGGATTTTTCTATGCTGTTATCACCATCAACCTGCCCTTATCCTTAGTGAGGGTCGGCACATGTAGTACTCCTCCATACATCTCTATCAGCCTTCATATCTGAATCTACCCCCTTCCTACGCATATCCTCTTTCATACAGTCCATCCATACTTTTTTCGGTCTTCCTCTACCTTTGTAGCCATTTACATTCAACTTCATTGCTTTTTTGCGCATCCCTCCGCATAACATGTCCAAACCACGCTAATCTTTTACTACTCAATTTCTCGATCATTGGCGTTACTTTTAAACTTCCCTAATATATTTTGAACTACTTAATTATCTACGCTGTTATGTCAATAAATGTGTGACATATAAAAGTTAAAGTCAAACAATAGGATTTCCATTACAGAAACATTTTTAATTTAAGTTTTTCAGTACGAAAGATAATAAAATATTTTGCTTGCATTTGAAGGAATACAAATCAACTGGATTAAAAAGGAAAACTACATTTTTATGTTGTTATTTCTTTACAATTACATTGTATCGAATAATTTTATGGACTCTAGAAATCTTTCAAATGTTTATTTATTCTGTGATAAAAAATATACTAAATGTCATCGAATTAAATTTATCTTTTCAAGATTGTTATTTAAAATAGACACATTTAATTACAGATAATTTATTTAAAACCGAGATACGTGGAGTCAGGTCAGAGAACTTTTATCAGATCAATTCCTCAATTCAATTATAAGAACAGGAGGTTTATATGAACAAGAAAATGTCTAAGTTTAATGTAATCGCAATTTGATATATACAGGCTGTTCTTTAAAAAGCTTTCGTTGGGCTAGGCTACGCCTGATTCGTCTGAATTTGAAGTAATTAGCACGCCGTATTACATTCGGTATCAAAAGCGAAGAGCAATAGAAATCGAACCGCAACGGTATCGGGGTTACAAAAAGCCGACCGGTTAATGAAAAAACTACACGTAGTCAATATTTGATGAGAGCCAATTTAAATGTTCGTCCACTTGTAGACATCGCATAGTTCGCTCGCATCCGCCTCTGTACGTGTGCGCGGCTGCGGGGCGGGCCGAGCGGCGGGCGGGCGCGGGTAAAAAAACTAAGAAAAATAAAAATGGCGCACGCGAGGCTGTGTGCGCGGGAAAAAAATTGCAGATATAATGCCGGTAATAATAATAATAATAGCCGATCGGCCGTCGGTCCGAGCGGCGCACCCCCACTCAATTTTCATTCAAATGTGCTTGGCGTTTTTTTTGGGAACTTTTTTCCACCACGATATTTTTCGGGGGTTTTCCATTAGCAATGCGTCTATCTGAATAGTTGGCTGCGTTGTCGAAGCGTGCGCCTGCCACACACGCCCCTCGAACTCTTTAAAAAAAGAACACGAGTTCTTATTACATGCCCGAATTTTCAAAAAAAAGAAGACAATGCAGCGTTCGAAATGCTCAACTTCTAAAAAGTAGTTGACTGTGTAACCTGCCAGTTACATTTACGTATTACGTATTTGTTTTCGAAAGAAACAGGAAAAGATAAAGTTGATAAAAAAAACGTGTTCACACTTTTTAAAAAAAGTTTCGAGCTTGTCAATGAAAACACGTGGCTCTTATAAATCTCACAAGCAAAAGAAAGAAGGGTAAATGGCGGAATGGGTTAAAAAGGAAGTAAGGCCGGCGTTCGAGAGCGCGGAAGAGCTCTTTTTTTGTTGCGATTGCTTTTCAGTGCCGACGCTCGGAGCGTTTAGCTAATGCAATGAATACGATTAATAATTTGTATGAGATGAAAATTTGAGCAATGATTGCGCTTGAAGTTTTTAAATTTCTTTGCTTTCTTTAGTTTCATACTTTTTATTAAATGTTTTTATGGAAATTATAGATGTAACGAACGAAAGTTTGTTCTTAAGATGCCATTATTAGACGTTTTAAGAAATCTCATACTTCACAAATTATTCATTGTTAATATCAAAGTGTACACAAGTCGATTGTTCAATAATAATGTAAACCTACATTGCAAAAAGAATTCTAAACAAATTACGTAAGGATTCCATTTTAATTGTAGCAAATGTCATTTCTATACCCTCAGCTTTTAGACAGGGCATAGTTACGTGAGTGGACTTGTTTAATCAGTAAAAAAGCACGTACGAAAAAAATGTTAACGAACTGGAAGCAGAGAGCGGAATAGAAGAGACACAAGCCGAGGACCTCGACACAATATGACATGACATTCAATTTAAACTTGGACGGCGTGGCGGGGCGCGGCGGGGAGCGGCGGGGGCATGCGTTCAATAATTAACATAATGCTCTTTTACTCCTTTTTGCTTCCCGTTTGACACTCCATCACTCATGGAAATTCCATTTTCAATGCTGCTATATGAGGGGTGGGGCGCGGGGTGGTCTTTGCATGCGCGCAATGGACATGGCGGTTTCGGGGCCGAGGGGTGGTCGAAAAAAAGATTGTTAAAAAGGCATGCCCCCACCGCGGCGGTGTGTGAGTGCGTGCGGGTAAAAAAGCGCTCACTAATCGATACTATAGATTCTGAGGCAAGTAGGCTGCGCGGGTACTACGCCGATTGGTCGGCGGCGGATCGCTTCGGACTTTTTTTTTCGGAGGCCTCTAACGAAGCGGTAGATGTTCGGTCTTTCGGCGCAATCGCGGACCTTTTGAGTCCCAGGTTCGGTGCCGGCACCGAGCCGCACGGTTCGAGCTAACTCGACGGTCAACACTTGAGAATTAAGCGTGCTTATTCGCACCCCACTTTGTCCTTGTTGCGATGTTTTAATTTTCTGTGGACGTGTGCTGAGCAGAGCCGTACAATGACTACGCTCTATTGCTTTGCTGACACCTTCCACGTGTTTTTATTTTCCTACGATACTGGTGAATTTAATGACAATTCTTACAACTTTACATTATAAAAAAAATACTCATGATGACTGGTACAACATGAAAAGCAATACACCGTGGAACCATTCAAATATTTAGTGGCATTTGGAGACCGAAAATAACAACAAATTTTTTGTAGAATACCTTTAATTCTTAAAACAACAAGTGTAACTTAGTCCCAACTTACTTTTCGATAAGTTAATAAAAACTCATATCCATCAAATTACCTTCACATCTTATCATTTAAGTTATGAACTCTAAACTTATTAGATATTCTTTTAAGTTTAAGTAACATAAAGTAAAGGGTCACTTGTTATTATTAGTCGGATGGCGCTCAAGTAGCCCCCAGCACAGCAGCGACCTCTCGTGTCGAGAAGAGGCGCTCTAGTTAGACGGTGTAATAAACGCTCCAAATAAAGTAGTCTAACTAAAATAACTTTTTAATAACATTTAAAAAATATTAAAGTCTTATAATGTCGCATAGATTCTTATAACAATAGTTGAATACGAAAAGAAATAAAGATAACTTTCTTTAATTTAGAGAAGGGGGCAAACGAGCAACACATCGCCTCAAATTAAACCGACGGTCATGGCTACGCTACGCTCTTTTTTTGAAAGTGCCTAAGTTAACTGTTTGGAAATACCGCTAAGGACAGAGTATTCTACAACGCGTCTGTACGAAGTAAAAACGCTAAAACCTCGTCGTTGCGGAATGCCAGCCATCAAGATGGAAACGTTAAAATTTGGCACTCTGTTAACTCGTTTGATGACGGAACTCAATAGGGGAGGATAAGGGCAATTGTTAAGTTAACTATTAAATAAAGTCAGCCTGTATCTAGAACTGGTTTCATTACATTGGAAACCAAAGTTAAGGTGACTTTAAAAATGGCGATGAGAAGATTTGTGATGAACTTACCTCATTCTTGAGATTGATGGGCTCCTGCTGCGGCCGGGGCGGCGAGTGCCGGCCCAGCTCCGCGCCCTCCAGCATGTCAGCCTCGCATCCCGACTCGTCTGCACAACACACAAAAATTTTTACTAATATTATAAATACGAAGGTTTCGTTGGATGAATAGCGAGAATCATTAAACGGATCTCATTGAAATTTTGCACAGATGTAGAGCACAGTTAATTCTAATTGATTACGCCTTCCGTGTTGTTACGTAGTAACAATTAATAAAAATAAATATCTAAGAGTTTTTATTCTTAATATAAAAAACAATCACTTTTATAATTTTCCAGAGAATTCATACCTTATATTAAATACAAGACATTTTTCTCAATAAACGTGTAAAAGTAAATCATATGACGAGTGAAGAGCGGCCTCTAAAGAAAGAAATGGCCGCCATACCTGACCTGCCTCAACGTGATGCCGCAAATAGGTCAAGAATCGCGTCTACTGGAATTTAGAAGGAAATCCCCGCGCGTTATTTACCTGCCCCGCCACCGTATCGAGAGGGTGCGTGTCGCTAGACCGTCTCGAGTAAGCGCCATACAAAAACATTTATGATCACTAAGGATACCGCTTAGTGTAGATTATGGATGGAAAATCTACAGTAAGCTAGCTTAACTATTAAACGATTCCAAGTAATTTTTAAAAGAGCATTTTTAAAGGGAATTTTGTAATATTATTTTGTACCTGGCTACCCAGAATTTCAAGACAAATATTATTAGATTCTTATCAGTAGTAGTTGTAATTAAAGATTAGTTTTTTTTAAAACAGATTTACTTGTATGACAGTATTATATTGTACTTAATGCTATTGTATGGATGGATTGTTTGAAAGAGGATATGAGTAAGAAGGGGGTGAATTCAGATATGAGGTTGATAAAAATTTATGGAGGAGTACATACTGTGTCGATTGATAAGGACAGGTTGATGATATTGATAGAAGTTAGAACCAAGAAAGAATGACGCAAAGATGACGATAATAATATTTGTAATTTGCTGTGTTCAAATCATATTATTCGAAATAGATTTCGCAGAAGATTCGATGCTTGATCTTCAAATCTAACACTACATATTCCTAAGTTAATTTCCCACGAAAATCGTTGTTATAGAAACAAATATATTCATCTCATCTTGATCGTTTCGTGGAAATTACGCTTAAATGTTTCAATATGTATACGTAAACAAACATTCGCGTGATATACTTAGGTTTATTGGAAACCACTGTTTGGTAAGGCCGGCTACACACCTTTAGTTTTAACTGCATTCCTATTTGTACAGTCGGACGATTCAGTTAAAATAAACGTATGTAAACAATAACAGATGGGCTAGCACGAAAACTTGTGAGAAAGTATTTCTTATCGTCATCGGCAAAATTTAAAGTACAAAGAAAAATCTCATACAAATTTTGACATATCTTGTTTAAGATCTTATGAAAACGCATATCGCAAATATTCGTAATAGACCCTCTATACAGTTTAAGTGATAGTTATAATTTTACACACGATTCAATTGGACAGTCCAAATTTTTTGGTACGTATATTTAAATCTGAAGGTGTGTCGCTGGCTTTAGGTTTGTTGGAAACTCTTGTTCAGTAATACTGTTGTAATACTGTCTAAGAATTTATTTAATGCAAATAAAGGTGGCTACACACTATCGTATCAGACACGTAACAATACGTCGGGTTAATAACGATGTATTTAAGTGCTTCGATAAGATGTTTCCGATTTAATGTGTCTTGTTATAGTATAGTTTCGAATTGTTTAATCTTAAACAGAAAATCAAGTCCCAAAATATTGTAGTCTCCCCTATTATTTACTCTGGTAGAAGTCCACATGTCCAGTGGTCAATTAAAAGGCGGTAAACTCATTAAAAGTAGAATACAACTGAGAATTATTTTAATTCAAGTGTCCTACAAACGACACTTAGATAAGCAAGATCTCAACATAAACAAATACGTTCGACGTTACCACTCCAATCAACTCGGCATACCAAGCAAGCGATAGTGAACCTTATCGACCTTTACAAAGTAAGACACCACCAATCATTGTTCTGCAAATAGCCCCAGCCTAAGCAACACGAACTGATGCCAAAACGTAGCAGCCGTCGAATATGATTGCTCCTAATGCGGCCGGCAGGGGGGGAGGTTAGGTTTGAGAGGGGGCTGGGCTGAGGGGGGAGGTTACTGCGTCGCGCCGTGTTCTGACCGAGCAGTAAGTCTGGCTTAATCCTATCGGAAACGCGGGCCCCCCATTGAAGATCGGCAAGGATCCACACGACGTTAATGTGTGAGACATGTCTCGAGATATCGATAAAGATTTTTCTACAGCTGCATATTACTTGACTCGGACCTAATTTTAATTTAATGTATTATTGTAACAAGTATAATTAACAAGTAAGATTAGATCAGCTGAACAGAAAATACAGGAAAAGAGCAGATATAAATTGCGTATAAACTGTCGCCCGCGACTACGTCCGCGTGGAAACGAAAACAACTTAATTAGTAGCCTGTGTGTTTTTCCAGACTATATTCTACGTCTTTGCCAAATTTCAGCGACATCCATCCATCTAAACACTCGTATTTATATTAATAAGAAGTAAGATTTATAAGTTATTTGGTAATAATCTTTCTTCTTTACATATTTTTTAAGATATATTTTATCAAGGAATAGACAACATTTATCGTAAACCGCAGTCAGGCGTCAGACTTATCCGCAGTAGCTACACCTCGTATAGCCGGGCGATGCATCTAGGCGAGGCTAGGGGGCGAGCGGGACGAGGTGGACATTACAAATTAATAGTACAAAGACCGGCCGCAGATCGCCGTTGCGAAAATTTACAGGCGGCAGACACTTATAGTGTACTGCGAACGATAAAGGCACTGGCTTTATGGACACGTAATATGTAAGGCAGCCTTAAGGCTCGGCATCGACGACATAGTTTTGGCATGTGTATACCTTGCACTAAACAATTTCCTCGCCTATAGTGTATAAATCTATGTTTTTATGTGACAATATACATACTAGTTTAGTTATATAATATGTTTTGGATTGGTTGTGTGTTCTCGTCTTAACCTTCCGTATTTGAGATAAATTTTTAATTATTATAGCATAGGAGTCTATCAATATAGTATCTTATAGTTGAATTTTTATGCTATATTAAGCAACATTTTTATGTACTACATTATCTTATCTTACTTCTTACTAATATTGTAAATGCGAATGTTTAGATGGATGGATGTTTGTATGAAGCTATCTGTGGAACGGCTCAATTGATCTTGATGAAATTTAACATAGATGTAGAACATACTCTGGAAGAACATATAGGCTTCTTATTAAGTTTTTTTTAATCCGCGCGGTAGTCACAGGCGACAGCTAGTGTTAAATAAAACTTTGGAAAACTTTTTTTTTTTTGGCTCATTTTGAAGTTTCTTTCAGCCACACGTTTCCAATAAATTAAATATCACACTTGGTTGAAGAATAATCGAAGATATTTCTATAATCGCATGTAATTAAAAAAATACATTGAAATCTTTAATTTCTTCGAAAAATTTCTAAATAGTGTCACAACATTCGGTCCATTGGCTTGCACGTTGCTGGGGGCAGTTGCCCGCCCCGCAACCCGCGCGACCGCACACCTCTGCGTCAGACGAGTGCATTCGGAACCCATCCCGGCGATGCGTTGATTGCGTTAGTCTCCAAGATCCTATTCTCTACCAGACTGGAATGTAAACTGATCATACATATATCTGATTTATATTAAGATTAAACTCAAATATAATTTTCAATAGTTATTTCGTTCAAACTAGGTGGGAAATAGTAGGTTGAATTGCAAACCATCTTGTTAGAAAATTACTAAATCACAAACCATTCGGGGACTAATTGGCGTTAAAATATATAATGACACCTTTAACCTTTTTAAAAATAGCTACCGAATAGTTTTTCACACTGATCATTAAATCCACAACAACTTTAAAAGGGAAATGAACCGAGTAAGCGATCTAAGCGGGCACTTAAAACAGATTATTTTAACTTGGAACCGGAGATCGGAGCTCTTTTGTATTTCTATTCGGCCAACACCGACATGATCGGTGTAGGCTTTAACGAATGCCTCTCGACAAAAGTAAGCGGACAAATTGCTTCTAAAACAACAAAAGCCGAGGCCGGAAAAATTCACAATCGCAACGAATCATTAATCTCAAAAACAAATGGAAATCGGCCGACATCTGCCGCTATATATACTATGGCTCGCGAAAAAAATAAAATGGCCGCCGCCATAGTCGACAGTTGTCACGTTATTCTCGACGGGATTAATTAGAAATGCGATTAAAAGCAAACAAAACAGGGTGAACTTAAATTAATGAAAAATTACCACCCTCCGCGAACGACTCGTCAACTCTTTTTTTTCACAGGCTCGCTCCCGCGCATTAGGCGGCTTTAATTTGAATTCGAAATTAGAATTACGCGCGCTTTATAATTATATTTTTTTTTCGATGGCGGCGAGCTGATTTCTAATTCTCTAGGGTCGATTATACGCTGACGGCCGGATAATATAAATTTTATTCGCATATCTTTTTGATAAATCTTTTATTTATTCTGACTCGGTGTGAAAGTTTAAAATTATTGAGTTCTTTATACAATTCATTGTTAGAATTCGCTTTGTATAGTTTTTTATCAAGAAAAATTGATCATAATATAATCTCAAAATTAAGTAAACATATTACTCAAGTGTTTTTTTTTGTTTAACCATTAAACAATAAATCAGAGGTTAAACTATCATACAAAAAAATTTGTTTCTATTTTTTTTATAACAGAAGGGGGGAAACGAGCAGCGGAAACACCGTGGTGTTCAACGAAGCCCATGGACATCAGCAATACCAGAGGAACCTCAGACGCTTTGCCGGCCTTTGAGATGATGATACGCTGAATAACTAACTTGTAACCACGTCAAAAGCATTTGTCACAAGCAAGTTACAACACAATAATTAACATTACACCTTTACTAACGAATTAAAAAAATTAGAAATTACTCTAACAGCGAGGCGGTATTTTAAAAAATATAAAGC